GAAGTGGCGCGATAGGACACTTAGCATGTTGTTCATGTACGAGACAATGTGTAGTATCGTGTTTTCGTTTGGTGATTGTTTGCTGTTGCCGTTCTGAAGCGGGTCGTCGTCTATGGAGAAAGACATTGCACGAAAGTAATATGCCGGAGGACCTTGGACGTGGTTGGCCCTCGGTTGAGCGACGCAGCCGAGCGATCCGCGGGATACGACGCCGGCGTGGCCAAGCATACAGTGTATTGATTGAGAAGCCGTAGAAGCCGAAGGAGATCGGGCTCTTCAACGAGGCAGTTGAGCAACTCGTGCCGCCAATCCCCCACGGCCTTGGCAGTGGTACACCATCGCTCGGGAGGAAAACTAGTAGACCGGGCAACACGAACGAACATGAATACACACCAAGGAGGCGAGAGTACAGGAAAGAGCAACGCCAAATCGGCAAAACGAGCGACATTTACACCGTCAAAAAGAAAAATGCACAGCGCCACGACTATTGTCGCGTTCGATGCTGCTGCGCCCAAGGACCGCAGCGCATTCCATTCATACAGGTATGGAAAAATGGTTGAATCACGCTAAAGATACATCAACATTCCCAAGCCATTTTCGTTGGGCGCCAGCAAACACACGAAATGTTGCTGATGTTGCGCTGTCGTCGCACTTGAACCTTGACGACGGATGTGGAATTCCGAGCTCTTGCGCACGCTCGGTCAAGCTAGTACTTGCGAAGAGAAATATCGCGTGGTGTCGGGTCGGAGTCGCCACAAACCTGTGCAATGCAGTCCGTGTTTTAGTAGCTTTACCGCGAACCGGATGTTGAAGTACAGTGCCCACGTGGTCAGCGAGATCTTGGCAAAGATCTCGTTCATGGTTGCGTTCGACAGCAAGCGAATCACTTTCCCATTTGACTTGAGCCATCCATACCCATTATGAAGCCATTCGCCGTCCTCACGTTTGCGCTGGCTGCTGCCGTGTCGGCCACGACGGCCCCGTGCGCCGTCGCCTTCGTGGAGGAACGCCTCAAGTCTTTCAACTGGTACAATTGCGGTGTTGCGCTTAGCGATGCGGAGGGCAAGAAGTGGACGAGCTCCGGGTGCGATGCGTTGTACGAAAAAACGGCGGCGGCGATTGCGGCCTTTGAGCCGGCATGCTCCATCGGCGGCGTCGACTCGACCGACTTTCCTTCGCTAGACCCGAAAGAAGGCATCAAGACCATTATTCGTGCGTACGGACTCCCGAGCCCGACAAAGGCATCCGAGTCGGCGGCCAACACACCTGCACCCACCAAGGCAACCAGCAGCGCTACTGCCACCGGTGCAGGTCTCGCGTTCACGGCCCTGGCCCTTGCAGCGTCGATGGCCTAGTCCGCACGAATCAAACAGTGTACATACCTAGCTCATGCCAGCAAATTTTCGATCCGAATGTCCAATAGATTTGATTGGCGTTAAACCGTTAAAAGACTTGCACCGCGCTTCGGACGAGCATCGCTGGACCTCGAGGCGCCGGTAGACTGTCCCAAGAGTACAGCATCCGAAATATATGTACTACTCTGCGATGTCCGCATATTAACTCCATCAGACGGTCTGCACAACCCGCGACAATTACGCGCGACGAGACGCTAGGGGTAGGTCAGAAAAACCTCGCCGTCCACCGCCACGAGTCCATCGCTGATACTGCATGTACGTCGGGCAACCATTGATGGCAGGCGAAGCCATCCAGTAGCAGTGATTACTATAGGGTTATTCCTCCTTGCAGCACGCTACTGAGGTCGCCAATGGTTTACTCAAACAAGCTGTTGGCGCCAAACGGCATCGGGAGCATCGGAAGCGCCGTGTAGTGCGCCGCGCGCACCTGCGTAAACGTGGCCAGCGGAAAGGCGTTGGGGAAGCGCGCAAAGTCCTGCATGAAGCGGTCGTACGAGATGTCGCGCAGGCGCTGCCCCAAGAGCAGCCACTCCATGGGCGTCTCGGGCATCACGGACAGCCAAGCCGACGCCATTCGCAGTGCGATCCCCGACCTCCAAGCCCAGCTAGATGCACGGCGGGCCCTCGACCCGTCGGCCTTGCGGGCCCTTCAGCCGGTACACTCAATATAGATAGCCGCTTGCTCAAGGATGGATGTAGGCCCTTGAGGACGAGTACGTAGCTTTTCTCCGGTCCCGCCTTGCGTTGGGCCAAGCGCGGTTTGCCGAGCTTCTTAAGGACCGACCCATACCGAGCGCGCTAATCCCGTTTGCGACGCTGCTTGTCGCGCCGTGCGAGTCGCGTGGCGTCCGTAACGCCGTCCAAGCGCTCTTGTTTAGCCTCCGAAACGACCGCGACGA